CACCAGACGTGTTGGGGGGGGGGGCGGGTTTCCACATGAAACAATTCTCTGATGCCAGCCAGGTGTCCTGTGGTTCAACTCGATTCTGACACTGTTTACCTGGAGATAGCATCCCATAAGCTAAGGGCTCAGTCCCACAAGACTGCTCTCTCTTCAGATACCAGTTACAAGTTCCCATTGTTACCTGTGCTTCTGACTGACTGACCATAAATTGGAGATTACCATGACCCCCTCCTTGGGTTCAATTAATTTGCTAGAGATACAGAACTCAAAGAAATATGTCCTTACATTTGCCACTTTATTATAAAAGAACATGATAAAGGATACAGGTGAATAGCCAGATGAAGAGACCCATAAAGAGAGGTCTGGGAGAACCCCAAGTGCAGGAGCTTCTGTCCTGTGGAGCTAGAGAGTCACCCTCCTGGTGTATGGATGTGTCCACCAACTGGCAGCTTTCCAAACCCTGTTTGGGATTTTTATAGAGGCTTCATTACGCTGGCATGTTGATCATTAATTCAATTCCCAGCCTCCTCTCCTCTTCCCAGAGGATAGGGGATGGGGTTGGAAGTTACAGTCTTGTAATTGTGGTTTGGTTTTTCTGCTGACCAGCCCTCATCCAGAAGCCCCCCAAATATTGTCTCATTAGAACAAAAGAGACTCCTGTCACCCAGGAGATTCCAAGGGATTTGAGAGCTCTGTGTGAGGAACCAGGGTCAAAGATCAAACATTTGAACAAAAGATGCTCCTTCTGCTCTTATCACTTAGGAAGTTACAAGAGTTTTAGAAGCTCTGTGCCAGGAATAGGAGGCAGAGACCAATATATATATATATATTTTTTTTTTTTTCTATTATTTGATAGCTGTCCTATCCAAGTAACTGTTGCCTAACCAAAGGTCATGAAGATTTACTCCTATGTTATTTTTAAAGACTTTCATAGTTTTAGCACTTACATCTAGGTCTATGGTCTGTTTTTACTTCATCTTTGTATACGGTGTGAGTTAGGAGTCCAGCTTCATTGTCTTGCATGTGGATGTTTAGTCGTCTCAGAACCATTTGCTGAAAAGATTACTTTCTCCCATTGAATTGTCTTGACATCTGTGTCGAAATCAATTAACCAGAAATGTAGAGGTTGGGTTTATTTTTTTTTTTTCATTAGCATGCTGTACATATTCCCCTAAAAGTTAGAGTTAACTAAATTGGTTTGTTTTATTATTTGGGAAATACCTGATATGTTCCTAGAAAAGAGGATTTGCAAAGTACACATTGGCCCATAGAATATGACATGTTAAAGATGACCTTAAGCCCCTTCCATATTTTATAAGGGATAGTAATTTTCAAGTCCAAATACTAAACTACTATGTCTGCAATAATTATAAGAATAGTAATAGCTAGCATATATTGGACCTGGGACTGTGCAGAGCTCTTTGAGTATCTATGGCACTTAATCTTCCCAAGAAGATTCAGTGCATACGTGTTTCCCCAGATAAGGAAATTGAAGCTTAGAGGGGTTTTGTGGGCTTTTTGCCTCACACAGCTAGGGAGTCACTTCTGTATTTCCAAATCTCACATGAGCTGATCACTCTCTGTATAATGGGTATAACTTGTAGGTATTGCCTAATGGTAGAAATAAACATCTCAATGCTCCCCCAGGGTCTGAGAGCAAAGTCCCAAAAGAGCTAATTACAACCCGGAAGTGTCCTTGAAGGTACCATGTTTAATCTTTAAATTCATGCAAAATTTTCCATCACCATGATATGTGTGTTTATTGAAACTACATAACATATGTGTTTATTTAAAATAAATCTGGGTCCTGAAGGTAATCTATAGAAGTAGGGAATTCCTATATTGACGCCCCATCCTTCTTTTTTTTTTTTTTTTTTTTTAATTACAACCAAAGTGTTTCAGGAACTGTACATATTCCCTCCCCTAAAAACTCTCTAGAACTATCCTTAGGCCTCCCTGAAAGAGCCCTTAGGGTCACAGGATTCTGCTGTGACTGATGGACTCCACATGCTCCTGAAGCATGGCTATAAAACAATTTCCTTTAAGCAAATCTTATTTTCTTACTGACTTACATTATACCAGTGAAGATGTATTCCCACAGGAACAAAGAAATGTAGCCCCAACATGTAATTTTGAAACAATTGCATCTACAGGAAACCTTTCCAAAATCACATCGTTTTTTAAAAAGTATATCATTTTTGAAAAATAATAATAAAGCCAAACTGAGTCACAAGGAGAATGAATAGTGTGCTAAAACTTAAAATACTTTGCCAACATCTGCATTTCCTTGTGGAGTAGTTTCCCCAAAAGGAAATTTGTCCACTGTGTTCTCTGGGCTTTTCAGCAATCAGTAACTAGTTTTAAAAGGAAAAAAAAAAAAAAAAAGAGTGTTAAAATGCTTAACATTTTCAATGTATTTATTAAGGATGATCTCTTAAGTAATCCATGGCTAGAGCCATTAATGTGTTTGCTTAATATTCCGTGTATTTTCTTTAGAGTGAAAATGGGTTTATTCTGCATACATATACCTGCATAGTCCTAATTCTTTTTCTTCTGGGCTTTGATTTCCACAACGGGTGTGTAGTTTTCTGACACAGAAGAGGAAAGGAAATACTTGCTAGTCAGCTGATCTTGAAATTTCATAATTTCTGAAGGTCTTTCCTAAGCCTATTAATTAAGCTTGATAGGGCAACAAAAGGGAAAACTTATGGAAGCATGATTCTGCCCTACTGGGGATGTGCCTGGCAAGCTGGTGAAGCAAACAAGCCAGAAGTCTGTTTGCAAGAGGACTGAAATGTGTCTTAGGAGGACACAGATCCTAGAGAAAAAAGAGTGTAATATGGAGAATCCAGTAAGAAAGTTTGGTCCCAACAATAAATTGACAGCACTCTTAAGCTGGAGAGTGAAAGAGCCTTTAATAGACTATACAAATGTGTAGTCAGAAGTTACAGAAACAACCAGACCTGGTGTAATGCCTCAGGGCCAACAACACAGGGGACCCTGTATGGTCACTGGAATGTAGGAAGAGAAGACATGGGTGGTGCAAGGGAGAATGAGGGGAATAAATACCCGGACCTCATTCTCCTCTTACCCTCTGTCTTCTGCTGGTTCTTTCCGTTGGTCAAACACAACAAAACCCCAGAGCCCATTGTTGTGTCCACTTGGATGTCAGTACTTTCCAGCCAAAGCCCTCCAGGAACACATCTGTAGTTGAACAATTGGGTTTATTGCTCATTAAATGAATAGGAATGCACACCATGGAGAACACTGGGGAGTCTTAATAAGGGGATGTTAGAGAGGATTTGTTTCTAGGGTTCGGCCTGCTGGTGAGTAGTTTTGGAAAAGGCTGAAGAAGAAAGAGGCTTTGCTCTGGGCTGAATGCTGAGTAAGGCAAAAGCAACTTATTGACCAATTACAGCTTTAGCATCCCCTCATTGCTCCCTAATTCTAGGTAAGATTTATTCAGGTACCCAATCATAGAATTGTTCCCACTTCCTGACAGCATTCCCCCCCCCCCCCCCCCCAACTAAAATGGTGGACCATTTTTATGGCTTAGACAATAATCAGTTGTTGTCTGTTTTCCCATGTAATTACAGAGTGGACTTGCTGTCTTGATTCATCCCGATCACAGAGTGTCCTTGTCTGATGTTGGGGCTCTATGCTAGATTCCATGCTCTGCCTCTCCACATTCACCCAGTGTGTACTCTGGGAGGCTGACTCATGAGCAAGGAAAGCTGCCCCTAGCCTCTAGGACTGGCCTGATCCAGTTGGCTTGGCCTTGGGTTTCAGTTATTGAACACAAATTTGCACAGAACCTCAGCATCAGTTAAGATCACTGAAGATGCCAATTCTGAGTCCCCCGTGATACTTGTCATCAGCATATTACCTCTGAGCCCAGCTCTCCATGGGGAAAAGTAAAAAGTGAGAGAACTTTTGAAAAGAAAAGCCACTTACAAAACACTAGAGCTTAAGACAGAAGACTGTCTCTATCAGAACATGACCCAAAGGGAAGAGGACCTTCTCCCACACCGCTACAGGTCATTGGGCACTGTGCGTTGGGCACTTTTTGTGAGGATGTCTCCAGGACAATGGGGGATGAGTGCACATGACTGGAAGCAGCATATGATTGGAAACTGATGCTCAGTGAAGCAGAGGAGGTCCAGCGGGGATGGATGATCCATGAGCATAGAAGGAATGCCCCCTGGGGACACCCAGATACAAACAGGGGACTTTGCAGGGAGACAAGGTCTTGAATTTTGTAGGAGGGAAGAACCAGAGGAATTTGGGCTTACCATTATCATTACTTTGTCAGTATCCATGGGCTGTTGAAGCCTAGAGGAACTTAGTATACATATTTTTAAACACCAAGCAAACTAATTTTATATGCATTTAACTAAAATGAGCTTTTTCTTGAGTTTGGCAATGATGCACAATGCGCTTTTAACAGCTTTGTGCATCATTCCCAACCTGTAAATGTGAATAATCATGCTTACTTATTTATAAAGTTCTTTGAGGTTTTTGGATGAAAGGCTCTTTTAAAGTACAAAGCATTAATTTTTTGTGACAGAGCACTATACCAGAAGTGAACATGAAGCAATATAAAAATTTTGTGTTCTTTCTTCCTTTAAGTTTTTAGCTGCTTTCTTCACAAAGACACAAAAGCCAGTCTCCAACAGGAGATCTGGTGTTTGAGATAACAGAACTAATAAAGTACTGTAAGTATAAAATCCTAGATAGGCTTGAATTGGCTACTCCTTTTGAGAATGTGAGAAATGAATTGATAGACAAAGTATTTTGTACAAATGAACTCATTTCAGTAAGTCGCACTGATAATCTTAAGAGTATGTAAATGGACCTCTATTTATAGACTCGTTATATCCATTTTTGACCAGGACGAGCAAGTGAAGCAGTAGCAATAGTCAATCATTACAAGTAACTAGACCACAAGAGAAAAATGTGCCAGTTGCTAGGTGATGACTTTCAATCTATCATTTTAGGCAATAAATATAAGATGAAGTTATGAGGAGAGAAGCTATTCATAGCTAAAACTCTAGCTAAAATGGCTATTATTTATTGCACGGAACTGAAATCGGATGAAGTCGAGAAACCCAACGTACAAACCCAGAAGCTGAGATACTACACAAGGGGACGTATTTCAAGGACAAATCCAAGGGTAAACAGAAAACAAGGATTCAGGGGAGGGTGGAGAGGATAAAAGGTTTAAGATAAAAATGGACTCGACTGCGTCACTTATTACCATGTTTCAAACCATAAAATAAAATGGAAAAAACATTTTTCCAAACTTTACCATTCTGAGAAAGAAGACAAGTCTTTCAGCCCCTATCAGTTACTTCGCAGGTGGCAATAATACATTTGGCACAATGGCATATGCAAATGCTGTGTGAGACCCTGTGTGTTTCCGCCCTCTGAGAGCACAGAAATTGGCTTGGAAGTATAGGTAACGCAAATGAAATGATCAGAGAAGAGCAGGGGCACTAAAAACATTTGGTTAAAACCTATGCCTGGCATAAAACAAGCACTCAATCAGTGCTGGCTAAATAATAAAGAATTGTGTGTGCCGTAAGGGTGCCTGTTGCTGGTTCTATAAGGGAAAACCATAGCTGCCTCAAACACAGCTGAGAATTACAAAGCATACGAAATAGCCTCCCTCATTACCCATTTACTTTAGCAAGCCCGATAATCTAGAACAGTGGTTCTCATATTCTAGTGTGCATCAGAATTACCTGGAGAACTTGGTAAAACACAAATCACTGGGTCCCACCCACAGAGTTTCTGACCCAGTAGGTCTGAGCAGGATAATTTTCATTCTTAACGTACTCCCAGGTGATATGGGTACTTCTGATCTGGGGAGCACATTTTGAGAATTACTGGTCTAAAAGATTGTAAGTAAATTTAAAAGCATGAAAGAGGATACTCATAACAGCTAACATTTACTGTGTACCCACAATACCACTGTGCTTCAAATCTTCCTAGGTGATAGATGATAGATATAGATAGATAGGTAGGTAGGTAGGTAGGTAGGTGATAGATAGATAGATAGATAGATAGGTAGATAGATATAGGTGGAAGGAAGGAAGGAAGGGAGGGAGGGAGGGAGGGGAGGGGAGGGGAGGGGAGAGGAGGGGAAGGGAAGGGAAGGGAAGAAGGAAGGGAGATGAGACAGACAAAGACCAAAGGAAAGTCTCTAATTTTAATGCATATGCAAACATAAAGAATAGGCATTTTTATTTGTATCTTATAGCTGAAGAACTAGAAGTAGGCTCTGAGAAGTTAAAACATTTGCCTACAGCATGTAAGAGGTAGAGCACAGACTTGAACCCTGATCTGTCTCCTTCAAAGCCCATGCTGTTTCTGCCATATCCTTCTGGATCTCTCTGCAGTCACGTGCTAACAGAAAAAAACCAAAAAACAAAACCAGCTTATGGTGTCAGAGGAGCCTGAAAATCAACCAAAACCAGATGGAAGATCACAAAATGCACAGCAGCCTGGGGTTTTTAAGACAAGACAAGACAAGACAGCCTGACCTTCTTCAGGCTGGAGACAAGGGACCAGTGTTGAGCTACACAGTTTTATTGCTTAGGGTGACCCTTGACAGTGGTGTGGGTGGCTGGGCCTCCCTTATGGCTCTGTGTTACAGCCAAAGCAGAAGCTGGCTGGTGTGACCTTCCAAATCCAGAGAAGGGATAAGCGGACATGCTTCAAAATTACATTTTCTCTTTGAAGGGTTCACATTGCCCCCATTGACCTCTACCTCAAATAATAATTATAAGTGGAAACGGAGCGGGTAAAAGCCATAGAAGTGTCTCCTGACCAAAACAGACACCAAAGAATGGGGGGAGGGGTTCCTCCTCTCCTTCCTCCTCCCCCTCCTCCTCCTCTTCACGTGAAGAAAAGCCCTTGTTTCCTAGGCCGATCTGTTTTTCCTCTCTCCTCTTTTTGCAGAACCAACATGTTCATCAATCACCCAAAGTCGAAATTCATCTTTGATTTGTTTCTTTCCTGTCGTAAGAGCACATTCCCTATAACCATGCTAACACCTTTGTTGGGGTACAGTTGAGAAACTAAATGCACCTTAAAAAATGCACCTCAAGTGTATACTTTGATAGATTTTAACATATGTATATATCCATGAAACACACTAGATAGTGAAAATCAGCATAATATAACCCTTAGAAGTTGCCTGTGGCTTACCTTTCCAACTGTGAGCATCCTTCTCACCCCAGGTGACCACTGTCTGCTTTCTACCCTCCCCCCCCACCCCCCCCTCTGCCGCAGAAATAACCTAAAGGTTATTTTGCCCTTTTCAGAGTGACATTAACCTTTTCCTGTGATTATTTGCCATTTATGTTCTTTTGTGAAATGTCTGTTTAAATCTTTTCCTAAAGTACTAATTTATTAAACAAATTAATAAATAATACTCATTTATTGTTATTATTGAATTTTAAGTGTTCTTCATATGCATCCTGGATGCAAGCCCTTGGCCAGATACATCTGCAAATATTTCCTCCCAGTCTGTGCCTTGTCTTTTCATTCTCATCACAATGTCTTTTGAAGAGAAGCTTAAAATTTGGTGAAGTCCAATTTACTTTTTTAATAGATTATGCTTTTGGTGTATCTGAAAAATGTTTCGCCTTACCTAAAGTGAAAAAAATGTTCTCCTGTGTTTCCTTCTGGAAGTTGTACAGTTACAGGCTTTACATTTAAGTCTATGATTCATTTTCAGTCAGTTTTGTATGTGGCTCAAGGTATACATTGAAATTCCTTTTTTTTCCGCTTTTGCATGTGGATAGCAAATTGTTCCACACCATTTATTGGAAAACTAATCAAAATCTTTCTCCACTTTCTTGCTGTCAGTGGGCCATGTATGTGTGTGTCTGTTTTGGTTTTCTGGACTCTGTTTTGTACCATTGACCAGTTTGTCTACAACGATATCATTATGCCATGGTCTTGATGACTGTAACGTTATGGTGAGCCTTGAGATCGAGAAGTGTGAGGTTTGTTCTTCGTTTTGAAAGTTTTATTGGCGTGCTCTCTTCAGCAGCACATACACCGAAGGTCATATCGGCTATTCTAGGTCCCTTGTATTTCCACACAGCTTTTATAGTTTTTGCCTGGGACTGCTTTAAATATATAGATCAACTTGGAGAAAATTGGTGTATTAAAATACCAAGCCTTCAGATCCTTGGGCATAGAATATCTCTCCATTTTTCAGGTGTGCTTAAATTGACTTCAACATTGTGTGGTTTTCAGTGTACAGGTATTACTCATCTTTTTTAGATCAATCATTAAATATTGTAAGTCTTACCTTGTTGGGTTCTATATATTTTTATATTCCTATAAATATTTGTGACATTTGTTCTGGAATAGAGTTAAGTTACTCAGAGATTGGAAATGGTTTGATTCTTTTGGAGTTTGCTGTAAAGCTTTGTTAGAACCAGAACAGCACTCAGTCCAAGATTAATTTTTTTCCCTGCTAGCGAAGTAAAACCCTTCTGAGTACTCTCCTTTATGTCTTATGAATTATGACATTTTCTATTCTTGCTGGTGTGAGCACACAATCTTCCTGGCCCCATGGGAGGAGATCTTAAGGGCTGTTTCCTCTAATCCTTCCAGATGGTTCTTTTCCAGGCCTCAGGGTGCTTCCTTACATGTAGGCACTGCCATTGCTTAGCAGAATACACACGGGTACCTTCCGCAGACCCAGAATCCTCTCTCTGGAGCCCTCTCTTCTTATCTGTTGTCCATGCAAGCTCTGCATGCTTGGGAGACTGGCCCCCTGGTAACCCCATCTTTGTCTCCGCAAGTCAGAGAAACCGCTAGGGTCCACCTGAGTTCCCTTTCCTACTCCAAGGCCTGGAAGCCCTTTCCGAGCAGTAAGCTGGGGCCATCACAGAGAATCATTTGTCTCCCAACTTTCTGACAATACTGCCCTTCCTTCGTTGCCTGATGTCCACCGTCTTGAAAAACTTTGTTTCATGTATTTGTCTATTTTTTCAGTTGTTTTAAGTGGGAAGGCAAAACTAGTCTCTGTTATTCCGTCTTGGCACAGTGGAAGTCCTGCGTGCCCTATGATTTTATTGTTTCTCTTTTATCACGTTTTCTATTCTACCACCCCCATTGCTACAGTGTAAAAACAACAATGAAACAGCTTTCCTCTATGAAAACCTGCTCTGTGCCAGGGCCTCTATCACACAGTTGATAAACATCATATCCACCAACCATGGCTGTAAGTTGGGCTTATTTTTTTATGTACAAAATATTTCAGACATTCGGAAAAGTTGAAAGTGATGTGAATACTCTCAACACCTAGAAGTGACAGTGCTAATGTTTGTGGCATTTGCTTCAGCAAAACCAAAGTTTCTTTGTGACCTGTTCCCTAGTGCCGCTCCCACCTTCTCTCACGTGAGGTAGCTATTATGCTGGAGCTGGAATCGGTAAGGTGGGTTTATTACCTCCACTTACTGATGAGAATTCTGAGGCTCACAAAGATTAAGTAGCACGCAGAGGGCCATTCAGTTTATAACAGGACGGACTAATACTGGAGTTCTGGTCTCTCTGGCCCAAAGCCATGTGCTTCACCACAAGTATACATTCGTCTTCCTGAAGCCCCATCTGAATCATAGAGTTTCCCAATTTTGAATCCTATCCCTGAATTAAATATGTTTCTCATCTTGGCTTTATAGTCCTGACAAGGCATGACTTGCGTGTACGTTAGACACTCCTATTTTCTGTAAACCTCTTCAGATCATACAAAACCATCCTATTCTATGTAAACCTCCTCAGATCATACAAAACCATTTGGTTGCCCCCAGTAGTACAGTGAATTTTTTTGCTGTTGCATCATTGCCTGTATTTTTTCCTCCATCTGGAATGTTCTCCTCTCCCCATTTCCGCAGTTCAAAAACCATGCTGATTCTTCATAGTTTATCTGACAAAAAAACATTGATTGAGTCATTTATTCATATCCCATATCAATGACTGCACAGAGCAGATGACCAGTGGCTGTTCGAGTCTTTGCTCCTTCCCTTCACCCGGGCACTTTGTCACTCAGAACCCTATCGCAAAGCATTTTTCATGTCTTCCCCCAGCATTTTGTCATATTTGATAGTATTTTGTATATGTGCCTTCCCTCTTGTATGTTGTAACTTTATCTCTGTATTACCATGAATGTCTAGCATAGAGCCTTTGTACATAACAAGGGCCCAATCAATGCTTATTAAATTGAATTACACATTCAAAATCTGGATATCCTGGGAAATATAGGAATTGGTAAATGTAGTAGTATTTGTTTTTAATTTACTTTTACCTTTAAAAAAATACCGAGCATGAGAGTTTTCTTATGCTGGTGTATACACAGAGCCCTTTCTGAATGTCCAGTGCTTGGGCCCACGTGGAGCCTTTTTTGTTCCTCCAACAAACCTCTGAAACACAAAAAGAAATCTCAACTCTGTCCTTGCACCCATAGAAAATGGCATTAACATCTTAAAGCAAGTTGGCTGAAAGACATTTGGATCCAAGCAAGTGATATTCGGCCAAATTTTCACACTGATACGATCTTACGCTATCTTCTACCGCAGGTGTTTTGTTCTGTGTTGGCCCGAACGACTGCATGTTGTTGTCATCATTGCCATGGAAAGTGCCACTGGAATGAAAGGGGTTGCCATCAATGGGTCTTTTTATGGTTACTGAGCTGCGGAGCGAACCTGTTTGAGCTGGAATAATGGATACAGTGGATTCCCCAGCTAATTCCATGCAAGTTTAGTCCCATTTTATAGTTCCAGTTGCCTTCAACTAAAACAAGATGGTAACTTTGAGATTATTCATTACATAAGGCAGAAAATAAATCTTGTATTAATGCTGTCTATAGTGAAAAAAAAAAGTATGCTTTCTGATACAAAGAGAATTTGGTGCTGGAAAGAAATGCTTGGATTTACTTCTATTCTTGTGCCACATAAATTTACTAAGCGAGGCGGATTAACTAAAGATCGAGAAGGGAAAAAAATACCTAAAACCAGAATAAAAATTCCAGGTCGCTTCCCCTTATTCAACTCTGTGTGCATGGGCACTGCTGATTCGGGCATGTACCATTTCCTTTTCATTATTCATCCTCCTAGAAGCTGGGCAGACTACCAATGTGTTAAGGCGTGTTGTGAGAAAGTAATGACCTCTCGGCCAAAGGCACCCTCCCCATCGCATGCTCTATCTACTGGGTGTAGCCACACAGGAACACCTTGAGGTCCCCGTTCAAGGAGGAGCCTAGCATCCCCCTCCTGAAAGCACGTCCACCGCCAGTCCAGCCCATGGTGCATCAGTGGCATCCTCGCGATCCCAGTGGGGTTCGGATCAGTGAGCACTGGCTGAGGACCTCCTGTGTGCCAGAACCTACTGTGCCGTGTTCCACGGTGAATACAATATAACGTCTGGTTTAGGAGCCCTCACAACTGAATAGAACCATAAAGAACTTAAAGATACTCTTGTTAGGAAGTCTCATTATGGGTGGCCCACCCAAAAAGGAAACACATTGTTCAGCCGCCCTGTTCTGAAATGATGCGTCTGGTCTGGTCTGTGCGCTCTGACCATTCATTAGATTGTTAATTTTAATTTAGAGTTGGGTCCATGCTGACTTCGGTAAAATTCAACAGAGTTTTCTACCCAGGACTTAATGAAAAGCAATGAAAAGGATCAAATAGCCTGATTGAATCCATACCTTAAAAATAGCTTAGCTATAATACACTACATAGATATTAATAAGTAAATATATGCATGTTGATATACATGTATATACAGTATTAAAGTTTAATAACTGAGCCATAACTAATACACAGAGCTAACTAAAATTTAAGTGTAGTGTGAGCAGTCCTGCTAACAGTGTCACCCAAAGGAATTGCGCCATCATGGTGGGGTCTAGCCTTTTCAGCTTATCTCCAGCTTCTAGGTCTGCTTTTCAGTCCTTTTGGTGACCCAGGCTGATCCCATGCTAGGCCATTTGCTTACCTTTTTTATTCTAAGGTTGATATATTATTACAGAGAATTTCATTCTCTTTTTCTGTCAGTGCTCAAGGTTTTAAGTCTTCACTAGGTATCTCACTCTTCCCCAAGCTATTACTGTTCCTAATGTACTATTGCACATATGGGTGCAGTGCTGGACCATAGCATACTCACTAACCTTTGATGCCTGCTCTGCCCTGCTCTCTGTTACATCCATGCAGATTCCTTGCCTCTACTGAAATTTAGTGGTGGAAGGGATTCTCTAGAACACCCTAGACCTCAGGAAGGGAAGGAACAGCTTCCAGGCTAAGTGCTTTCTGAAGAGTTTTCTGCATTGTGAAGGAGTTATTGATGCTCTTCTTTCTTCCCAGGGTTTCTGTGAGCAATCAATACATGCACACTTAATGTGAGGCCTGCACTACGATAACATGATGAACAAGGGCCCATGGAAGCATGGAGGAGGGAATGATTAATTCTGAAAGGACAGTGATGTTTGAAGATAATGATTAGAAGTTTTGGTCTGGTAGAGGACACATGAAAGAACATTCTAAGTGTATGGAACAGCAGGGGAAAATGCATTAATTTATTGAAGTGAGTGGACTGTATATAAAATGTGAGGCCCAGTGTGACTGGCGTACCAGGGGTTTGAGATGAGGTGAATCTGGAAAGGGAGCAAGATTTCAGAGATCCTTAAATGTCATGATAAAGATTTTGAGATTTGTCTCTCAAAACAAAACAAAACAAAAACTCTCCTTTGACTTCTGTTTAAGCAGGTTTTGACATAATCTAATTTGCTTTTTCCAAAGGAAATTGACTGCAATGTAGTGGATGGACTGGGGAGGTAAGGGACAGTGGCAGGCAGACCAGTTAGGGTTACTGTAGTAATCCATGTGAGAAGCAAGATAGATCTCAAAGAAAGGTAGCAGAGAGAGTGGGACAGTATGTCATTTCAGTTGTAGATCAAAGAGACTTAAATGAGATGAAGGGATAAAGAAAACGGAATCAAGGGTGAAGGGTAGATGTTTCCCCTTTTACCCAGGTTCTACAACAAATACTCAAGAAGCAGAGCCAATCCAGCATCAGCAACTTGAAGCCAAACCACCTCAGCCCACAGGAAGAAATAGTTACATTGTGCCACTGAGTTTGAGCATGTTTTGTTATGCAGTGAAAACTCACTGATAAAGCCATTAGGTGAAATACATGGTTATGGATAGTAATCTTCTCCGCTCCCATACTGACGCTTCAGCCAGCTGTGTTGAGTCTGGCACAGCCCCCAGCATATCAAATGCTGGTCTGAACAGCAGCTGCAGTGGTGACAACTGAAGTTAGATCTGTTCACATTGATTATGTGACCTTTCATGGATTTTCAGCCACCATTAAAAAAAACATCCACTTCTGCTAATGATTGGCATTGTGCTTGTATTTTACAGATTACTGGGAATAAAGCTTCTGCTACCAGGAGTAGACTTTTGCATACCTTACTTACCCCTGAATCAAGAAATTCTTCCTCATTTGAATCTCAGTTTCTTATTCTATTCTAAGTCTTAAATTCGCTAATTTTGGGGGTGGGGAGTCGGGGAGGTGGAGCATGGGCTTAGTTAGTTTTGTTTTCTGGAGATGTAGAATATCTGATCAGATGCCAACTTTAAATTCTTGAAGAAAAGTATTAACTAAACTTTTGGCCCTTCTTTCTCTGGGTAAACAACCCAAACTCATTTAACCTTTCCTCAGAGCTTCAATTTGCCAATTATTTGACTGTTTCTCTGTTCTTTTCTGAACCCATTCTACTTTGTTATATCTCTTCTAAGTTATAAAGACCAAGATTGGACATGGGTCTTTACATCTGAACTGGTGCTTAGTATAATTCTTTTACTCCTGGGTCTTTAAGACGGTGCCAGCTCAGAAACATCAGGAATTAGCTTTCATTGCATTATAATAGAGAATATGTGCTGTCTGTGAATTTCCCAGCTGTCCCTGGGGTCCCCCAACTTATACTTTGGTGATGAGTTTTAAAAATATTTTATTATTTTATTTTATTTTAGAGAGAGAAAGAGTAATGGCAGGGGAGAGGGGCAGAGGGAGAGGGAGACAGAGAGAGAGAGAGAGAGAGAGAGAGAGAGAGAGAGAGAATCCCAAGCAGTCTCCTTGCCCAGCACAGAGCCCAAAACGGGGCTCGATCCCATGACCCTGGGATCACAACCTGAGCTGAAATCAAGAGTCAAACACTCAGCTGACTGAGCCACCCAGGTGTCCTTGGCAATGATTTTTGATATCTCAAAGTCTTAATCTGCATTTGGTCCTGGACATGATCACTCCAGGTTGTTGATGATTGCTCTGTTTTATTTTTTATTTCTTCGGCTGAGACTGATCTGTGTCATCCAGATTTGGCGTTTCCACAGTTAAAAAAAGAGAGCCACATTAAATAATTAGAATGAACACACACCATTCTTGTAATACCAGTCAAAGGTAATTTATATTTAGGTAAGTACTAAGTATAAATAATTTACTAAGATACATAAGAATAAATATTAAGCTAGGTACTAAGGAGAAATACTAAGATAGTTAAATACTACCATAATTTTATAGTCTGCCCAAAGGAATATTGCAAACGTAATTTGTCACTTTTGTAAAGGGAGCCCCTCAAAAAATGAGGTGAGGAAAATTAGCAGCAATAGTAGTAATAATAACAGCTAACATTTATTGATTACTAATAATATTCCAGGCACTGTACTGTTTTCACATCTTAGGTTCCACACAAGAAGACTCCTAGATAAGGAATTAGTGTGAATGGTTAATTCAGTTGTGTTCCCAGGACAAACCAGGAAGGGGGAGGAGAAAGCAAGACAGGGAAGAAAAAAGAAATCATGCTAGTGTGCAATTTCAGCCAAAATCCCGCTGTGGAGCAAAGTCACTTCCAGTTAAGAATTACTGGTACAAAGTCCTCGTGATAGTGTGCTATTGGTGGCAAAAAGGACAATTAGATCAGTGGGAAAGAGTAAAGAATCCAGGGGTGCCTGGGTGGCTCAGTTAGTTAAGCATCCGACTTCGGCTCAGGTCATGATCTCACCATTCGTGGGTTTGAGCCCCACGTTGGGTTCTGTGCTGACAGCTCAGAGCCTGGAGCCTGCTTCGGATTCTGTGCCTCCCTCTGTCTGTGCCCCTCCCCCCGCTCATGCTCTGTCTCTCACTCTCTCTCAAAGATAAATAAATATTAAAAAAAATTTTTTTAAAGAATAAAGAATCCAGAAATAGATCTGTACACATGTGGCCAATTGATTTTCAACAAAGGTGCAAAGGTGATTCTTTTGAGAATGATGGTCTTTTTAACAAATTATGCTGAAATAATTGGCTGTCAATATAAAAAATAAAAATAAAGTAAATGAAAAATAAGCCACGTCAGTACATGCTTGACATGACACACAAAAATCACTAAAAATGTATCATGGGCTTAAAAAACTGAAAACTATTAAATTTCTTAAGAAAAACAGGAGAAACTCTTTGGTACCATGGATTGGTCAGGACTTTCTTGGACAAGCACCCAAAGCACATTCCATAGAAGAAAAAATTACTGTACTCCATCAAAATTAAGAACTTCTGCTCTTTGAAAGGCTCTGCGAAAAGAAGGAAAAACCAAGCCACAAACTGAAAAAGAAAATATTCGTAAATCTTTTATCTGGTAAGCGGCTTGCACTCACAAGATCTAAAGAACTCTCAACTTGCAATTATAAGAAAGCAAACAACCCAGTAAAAATCAACAAAAGATTTGCAGATATATGAATGGCAAGTGAGTGTTCAGCATCATTAGTCTTCAGGTAAATGCAGATTAAAACCGCAAGGAACTCTCACTTCACACCTACTAGAA